ACAAGAGGACGTTCATTATCAGCTTTGCAAAATTAATGCCTTGTTAGTGGTGAGGTAAGATCTGACAAAATAATTTTTTCTTCTCTCATTTGCACTCTTAAAGCACTTAAATAATTTCTAGCATAAGTCAGTGAAATGAAATTAAATAGAGAAGAAGTATGGGGCTAGATTTTCTGCAGTTTGGGTGATGGCTAATAAAGCAGCCAGAGAAAAAAAGCAAAAGATCCAGGAAAAGTGAAAGGACAGGCAGCACTCTGCAAGCGTTAGGAGACAGCTGAGTGCTGAAGCAAAGGAACAAAGCGAGAACCAGACAGTGAATCATCGTCACTGGTGTGTGTAAAACCCGACTGGGAATTCAGGCAGGTCCTCTTGTTTTGCTTTGCCCGTCCCTTTTATCCTTTTTGCGAGTTATTAATGCTTTTGCCCAACAGCTGCTGGAGGTATCCCAGAAGTCAGCCTCCTCTCCTGCAAGCCTACCAACAGCCAGATTTTTCCCCAAAAGCTTCCCCTGTCTCCCCTCCTCTCAAAGCACTTCTTGCCCTGGCAATGCAAGGCAAGGTGCAGCCAACAGCTCCTCAGCCACCTGCCCAGTCAAAAAATGGAGTGCAGTGTTTAAGAACACTCTTTAAAAAAGGTAGGAGGTTAGAAAACGGGTAAAGCTCAGTGCTCCTAATGAGTCCCTTCCTAACTGGGATATTCTATGATTCTATGGTTATGGTAGATCATCAAGACAGGGTCATTGCTAAGAGATGTGGCATGCCTACAGATAGGTAACCCAAGAGAGGAGAAATCTTTTCATCCTTTCAGTTTTGGCCAGCTAATAACAGATTGCAAGGAACGTTTGTACTTTCCTGATCATGTTTGCAGACATTTTGCAAAAACAGCTTTGCTAGGAGTTAAATCTTGGTAAATCAGAAGCCACTGAGGCCAGAGAGACACAAGGACCCTGCCCTCCAGGATGGGTCAGGGTTGTATTTGTGGTGATGGCAAGCAAGCAATTGGAAGGCTCAGTGCTGCATGAGCACATCCCAGCACTTCCCAGCACATCCCAGTGGCCAGGTCCATTGGGCAGACTGGGGAGGCCCTGCTGAGTGTCAGCAGTGTTTGTACGCTTGCTGGGATCCCCAGCACTCAAGATCCCATCACATCCTGTCCTACTGATGTCAGCACATCCTCTGTGTGCATCCACACACTCACTCATGGTGTGCTGATGGCCCAGAGTTTGCTCTCCATCCCTGGACTCTTCCTAGTGGCAGAAATCACACGGCAGTACAAGGGATTCCACAGGTATCAGATGTGGGCTAAGGTTGTTTTCCCCATTGGCTCATGCTTACAGCTCAAAAGATGAGTCTTACAGTTACATTGCTTCATTAACAAATGCAAAATGGAAACAAAAGGGCTCTGACCCCTGAGCATGCTGTGACCCCACACTGCTTGTGAGAAGAAAGATAGAAACATGAGAAGAAAATCTGCTCCTGACTCACCATGTCCCAGCTGGCACTGAGAATCAGCACATACTGGCACAGAGTCCCACTTCCACCAGCAATTATAGCACATCTTCAGAACATTTAAAAGCACTTAGCGGGCACACCCGATCTCACAGGTATTTGTTCCATTGGTTCCTGACTCTCTGTGTCATTGCATCATGATGGTAGAAAATACAGCACTGGGAGTACTGAGCAGTGAGCCAGTCCCACGCACAGGAGGCCAGTTATAGGACTTGCAGGTGGAGGCACTGCCCATGGAGCATTCAGCTTACTCAAAGAAGTTTGCACAGCTATTCTCAGGAATGACTCAAATAATTTGTTAGAATCCTGCACCATTTTTTCTAATGAAGAACTTAATGCTGTATGTTCTTAAACCTCTGGACGGGAATCATCCTTATTCCTTTCAGGGCTGGGTAACTCAAAGCCTATGACCACAGTGGCAGGTGTCTGCACATGAACTTCCACCAAGACTCCATTTTTGGCAGTTTTAGGCTTAAACTCAATCTCTCTACATAAACAACTTTTCTCTGGGAGAATGCAACAAGGATGAAAAAATACCCAGGAGAAAGAAAGAAAAAAGAATTGCTTTTTTTTCCTTAAAACTTCAGTCTGAAGTGTTGTTTCGGAGTGAAGAAGCACTGAAACCACAGTTGTCCAATGGGATTTGAGGGAGTGGGACTGCTGGAGCAGTTTCGGGGGTGGGTGTTTTCCCCACGCTCCATTGGCGCTGATTGACTCCCAGCATGTGCGGGCATGGGGTGGGGAATGCAGGGGGAGATTTGAATGACTGCTCCTCCACAATGCGCTGCATTGTCTTGGGTTCACTTACAGCTGTTTTTGCAAGTGTGGGTTTTGAGGGACTGTGCGTGTGGTTTTTGCGTGTAAGGAGATGGAAAGAAAAAACCCAACAACAACAACAGCAAAACAACCAACACACAAAGGATATTTAAAGGGCTGAGTTCAGGGGAAAGCTAAATCAGCCTCCACGTTTGCATGCTTCGGATTACACACCTAGCTGCTGGCCCGTTCACTTTGTGTTGGCTGCAGTTCTGCTCAGGGAAACACTCACATGGGAGCGCTCAGACTGTGCACGTGCAAATTGGAGGATTAGCTCCCTAACAATCAGTCCAAAAACAGAACCGGCCATTTACAGGCTCAGTCAAAATAACAGGTCACACTCTTTGATGGAGGAACTTGGCATCACGTTACTGAAGTCAAAGGAGCTTTGCAGATTTACACCAGCTAAGGATTTGGGCATAGGTGTTTCCTGAGTGAGAAAATCCAAAGGGAAAGAACTACTCCATTCAGTTTATTTTTACAGTGCAGAGTCTACAGAAAGCAGTAGCTTTGCCAAAGCAGCAGGGATCACCTCTCGGCTGTTTGTGCTTGAGCAATAACATCTTCAGGGAATTCACAAATTTGTGCTGTGACAAAATTCTACCGTTCCTGCCAAGAAACAGGAACCGCTGCAGTTTAACGTCCTTTTGCTTTTCCTAAACAGCAGCATTAATGGCATTTTTGTACTTGGAAACTTCAGGCACATACTTTTGCCGTACTAATTGCAACTGCGCTCACAGTTGTGGTGGATGGCCACGTCCCTCCTAATTGCACATGAACCTACACACTGTCTGCACGCGCTTTTCCCCAGCACTGGGTGTCACCTGCCAACCACAGCGTGCTTCCTACGTGCTCCGCTTGCTTTATTCCCTTTCTTTCTTAACTCATCACCAAATGTTGCAACTGTAATGCAGCCTCTGGGGCCACTGCATTTATCCAAGTCTGCCGCCGTGGTGTCTCCTCTTGCCTCGTGATTTCCACCCTGCTTGGATAACTTGTAGGTACAGGATAGGCTGCTGGGATGGAAATGGTTCAGCAAACCACGTGATTGCTGGAATCTAGGATCTACATCTTAAATGTGTCTATAGTGTCACTGATCCTCGTTGCTCTGCCTCATCAGTGTATATATGCTGTTTTCCCTTAACGAAGAGCTGTTACGAGGAGGTGAGTTCATTCACCCCAGCTGGGTGTTGGAAGATCAAACCACACGAGGTGACAAGATTGCAAACACTTTGCTGGAGGGTTGAAAATACTCTGGAACAGGATAAGAGGCTTAACATGCTCACAGGGCTGCAGTGTGCAATGGCAGGTGCTATAGTTCCAGAAAGCACAGGAAGCGATCACTGGGCAAGGAGAAGATGTGCAAGTTACAGGAAATATTCAAAACCAGCTAAATCTGCTCTGACACCCAAGCCCCAAATAAAGCTTCTAGGGATGGATTAATTATTCAGGCAGAAATCCGCACCCACCCCAGCTTGCTGCCTGTAAGCCTGCCAACCCAACCCAGCATTGCGCCTGCAAAGTCACAGCCACCCTTTAAGCATTTGTATTCTAACCATGCCGTTCTGCGATGGGGGATTGCAATGGGATGTTGCAATGGGAACACCCCTGCAAGTAAATCACTGCTTTGGCAGAAGATAATGAGCTGTGTGGTACAAGCTCCTGAGAACACCAGCAGAGGAACTGGTACATGGGAAGATGAGCAGCCCCACAGATGCCAGAGCAGAGGGAGCAGAAAACAAGTCAGCTTCACTAACAGCAGACACACTGTTCTTGGAGAGTGGCGACAAGGAGAAATGGGTCTTTGCATGCAGGTGCTTAGGACATTCTTGCAACCCTATCTCTTGGGTGTTCAGTTCTGCAAATGAAAAAGAGAACTTCGTATGCAACAAAGAGTATTAAAAATTTCCCTGGATGTTTTCTGTGTTCTTGTTTCATTCACACCAATGTTTCTGTGCATGTGTGCAAGCTTAAACCAATTCATTCTTTTGCAAACAAGAAGAGTTTTTCTCAAGGGCCAGAGGAGAAGGCCCTATTTGTAGTTATTTACCTTTTTTTTTTTTTTTTTTTTTTTGTAGCATGGCCAGCTGTTTATTTGGTCACTTAAGCTAAAAATTGACCACCCTTCAAGAGACATAGAGCACAAATGAGAGTCACCATCTCCTGCTCTTTCTCAAGGGCATATTAATGGCTTTTACTGAAGATCTCATTAAGGGCATTGAGAACTTCAGGAGCATGACTAAGACTGTGTGCATTGTGGACAGAGGTGATGGAATCAAAGCGTGCATCTCCCCGGTGCTTCTCATCTTGCCATAATATGCAGAATTGGATCCAGGCTCCCTGGAGTTTGTGGCACAGGTTTTTTCGTTCTGGCCTTGATCTGATCTCAGATAAGGAGGCTGAGCTGCCCTAAATGGTCTCACAGTGATTTGCGGTAGGAACACGATCGGTTGTTTTCTTACAACAACACAAGAACCATGACAACCTGGAAAGGGGAACTCGCAGCGTCTGCACACAGAGGAGATTTCAACATCAGGCACAACCAAAGTCTGGTGAGGGGTGGAAGCCAAGGGGGCTGGAGGTCACAGCCTTGTGCAAAAGAGGTGAGAGGGACGATGGAAGGTGGAAGTGTCTTTCTGAGCAATGAAAGGCTTAGAGGATCTGAGACAGCAGGGAGCAAAGATGAGAAGGAGGGTGTGGGAGACTTCAGAATGACTTTACCTCAATCTGCAGGATAAAAAACACGTGAGGAACAAAATAAGAGGAAGCATTACCCAAGCTGGCTTAACCTCTGCATTCCCAGCAGGCCGACCCACAGCTCCGCACCAGCTCAGGGTAGGTGCAGCACTGAGGGACGTGGTTAGTAGGCACGGTGGGGACGGGTTGGGCTCACTGATCTTAATGGTCTTTTCCAACCTCGATGATTCTACAGTTCTATGATGAACTTGAATGCACTTTTGCCCTCCAGCCCATTTCTTCTAGAGGGAAAAAAAAAAAGAACAAACCAATAAGAGGAACGTGGAGTGAATCATCCCAGTAGAATTAGAGGGTTGACATCTTGTGTCACTTGTTGATGAGAAGGACATTTCCCAGTCATAAGGCCCTAAACAGACCCCAAAGGCCTTCAGAAAAAAAATAAATTATGTGCACAGAAGCAAAGCTGCAGAACTGGGCCTTAAGTGGAACATAAATTGATCAAGCAATAACGTGTAAGGATGAGGAAGCATTTAAGAAGCAGTGGCCATGTTCTAGGGACATTTGCTGACAAAAAAAAACAAACCTGAATGGGATAACGAAAAAGGAAACATTTATACAGAGAATATACTACAAGCATTTAATTATTTAACAAAGAGTACTGAGTATTAGGAAGAACTGGATGGCATAAAATCATAGCAGAGAAGAATAAAGTGAATAGGTTATGCCTGTTTCATAGAGATAAACAGAACACCAAAAAGAGAAGATCATGAAGGTATCTACGCAGCCACAGAAAATCATCATGCCAAGCAGTGCTTGCGGCAAGAGCAGGGAAAGTGGCTGAGTGTGTTGGAGCACTTGAGGGAGGTGAATCACGCTCAGGAACAGACCCATGGGGAGCAGAGCTGGCGTAGCCCTTGGATGTATAGCTCAATTGGCTGAGTCTCTTTTCTGATGTCTCACAGGGGATGAGCTCATACAGCAGCTTCAGTAGAAGCTCTGACAAAATCACTTTTCTGAACACAGGCACCTACTTCTGCAAAACTCATAGGCAATTAATGTCTCTGACCATGCTAAGAAATGGTTGAAATTGGGTGACAGGTCCAAGAGCTCATAGTGAGAAACAGATAGCCGTGCACTGAGCCACAAGCAGCCACGTGCATGGGATTGCACTGCAGAACCAGGCTTGGAAAGAATACTCCTACGTGCTGCAGTAGGACGCTTTAATTCAGTTATTAAGGCACAAGGAAATACTGACAAACCAGAGACTGGGCTGAAATGCTATTATTAACTATAGTTTCTTATGAGTTACATTTTTCTTTTTAATTAAAAAAAAAATGTATTTCTGTTAACCTACTATGAGCATGTTGAAGGTAATAGGTCTGCTGTAGGTTGCCCCATTCAGAGCATTGAGAGCCCAGGTGCATGGCTGCAAAGTCCCAGCGCGCTGCAATGGGGTGGCACCAGCAGCTCCGCCTTCAGTAAAATGACAATTAAGAGACTCCAGGAGGTTTTATTACCTGGCATAACTGAAACACTTTCAGATGCATTACTGAAAACACTGATTGAAGTTTTACTAGTATTAATTACGTTTTCAGGCACTTCAGTACTTCCTGCCTTTCAGCAAGGGCCAGAAGGAGAAGGATCTGAGGATCGTGCCATCGTTCTTGTCCCTAAAACAGCATCACCAGAAGCAATCAGGAAGCCCTGCTAAGAAAATGAAGTTCCTTTTGTGATAAATACTCATATTTCTAGGCTTGAGTGCTTTGAGTCAAGCCTGGACATCTAACCGGGGCTGCTGGCCATTTCAAGCAGAGTTCAACGATCCAGGTTTTTGAAGTGCTTCTACATGGAGCTTCCACAAGCCAGAGAACCAAAGTCAATGCACTGCTGTGTCCTGAGGGATGACCAAGAAAAACGTATCCACAAATTTCTAGAAAAAAAACCATTTAGCTCTGTGCCTGAACCCTAAAGAAATTATTCTCAGAGGAGACTGAAAATTAGAACTCCGCATAGATTTGCCTGGCAATTATTCTATGAAATTGAATGAGGAAACTCAAATAGCCCTTGTACTTAAATACACATTTTCAAATCCATTATCACAAACTATCTATGTTGCATACCCCAAACATAGAGGGTGCTGAGCAATTGTAAAGGGAGGTAAAAATCTCTGCTCTGAGAAGTTCAAAAAACAATGCAAACATAAGAAGGAGGGCAGAAGGGAAATAAGCAGGAAAACAGTCAGTTTGATGACAGCAAGAGAGCTGGCAGAGCTGCATAGAAAGGGATTTCTCCTCCTGCAAAATGTTTGAGAATTTTAAATTTTCCCAAACAACACTCAGCCAAGCCTTTTCACTGTGCTTTGCTGAAACTATTAAAAAAAAAAATCAAATCAAATATCTAAACAGCTTGGTTTTCAGCAACATCAAAAAATAATCCCCAAACTGAAAGAATAATTTGAAAACACTGGAAATAGCCGGAAGCTGGATGCTTTCTGCTTGGGGTTTTGTTTGTTTTCAAGTGAGCAGCTGGAAAGTTTCTTCAAAAAGAATGGAAAAAGTGAAAACGTTGTGTTTCTTTCCAAAATACTTCGTGGGGAAATATTTGTGATTTTCTGCTTACTGTACTTGAGAAGCAAATTGCTAGAAAAGAGACCCTGGGAGCTCCAAGCTGCAGTGTCATGCTTCAGGAGATCACAGGATCATTAGGTTGGAAAAGGCCTCTAAGGCAAACAAGTCCAACCATCCATCCACCACCATTACTGCCCACATCTTCACAGTTCATGATCTCCAGGGACAGTGGTTCCACCACCTCCCAGGGCAGCTGTGCCACTGCATCACCACTCTCTCAGAGTTTTTCCAGCAGCTTTGCTGTTGCTTGGAACTTCCCTAACAAGCATCAGGACACATCTCAAGGTACTGTGCTCACCAACAATGGGTAGCTGCAGTTGCTCTGCACTTACAGAGACCAACCTTCCGGAGGACTGCTGCAGAGAAACCTTGTTAGTAGAAGGAAACAGCTTCTGGGAGCAGCACATGAGTACTGCTGATGGGGCATACCTACTCCTAGAACACGGTTTTCAGCATCCTGTTGCCTTGGCAGTTCTCTTCTGGCTGCACCCAGTACCCCATCAGCAACTTTGACCACTCCAGGCCAAGCATAGTGCAATGTCCTGTACTTAAAACCAGCTTTGAAGCTCCACGCCAAGTTTCACGTAAAGCTTGAAGGGCCCTGTGCCTCTGAGCACTCTGCTTCCAGCACAGGGGCAAGCAGAGACAGGCACAGAACACGCAGGGGCACAGGCAAACAGACACCCAATGAAGCTGAGCTGATGCATTTATCATTAGCTGGGGGTTGGTAGCTGAGCAGAGAGTCAACAGAACCACCCAGCTCTCTGCTTTTTTTGTTTGTTAAAACTGCCTTAAGAACCCCGTATTCCTGGATTTTTACTTTTCCATGCAGCCCTTTCTGACCGATCTATTCTACGCATCGCTTGCAGAAAGAATCAGGACCAGGCCTTGAGAAAATGAAGGAGTGAGATCACCAGGCTCCAGGACAGAGCACAGGAACACTATCCTTTGCTTTCAGGCAGCGTGGTTCCAGGGCTTTGCTCCAGGAAAGCCAAGGCTGTCTCAGCATCTTCTGCTAAGCCTATAGGACACTCAGCACCACACCTGGGGCTCAGAGCACTCCTACCTCATCCTGGTAGTGCAGTGCTGGTTGGTGATGTGACTAAGGGCTGTCAACTTTGGCACCAACAATTTGGCTTTAATTATTTTTTATGATACTTTCTAATACAGTGGTACATATTTCCAGGCAATGATAGTAATGTCACCCTTCATTAAGGCAACCAAATGTTTTGTTATTTTTTTATGTGTGTGTTAATGAGCCCATCCACAGCAAATTATAGCTTTACCAAAACTAAAATATTCAGTCTTTCAGTCTTGGTCATCTGCTAGCATGGAAAGTTCAGTGAATCAACTTTTTCAGACCAAAGACTCCCATGCATTTCAGTTGTGAACCTGGATTAGGAATAGAATGAGAATGATGCTGCAAAGACCAATCCTCTATCTGCAAAGTTTTGCTGGACAGAGGAACTTGCTGGCTGGTTTGGGATCAGTGTGCTGGTTTTGGGATCAGTGTGCTGGTTTTACTTGTTTAACAGCTTCTCCTCTACCACTGTTAATGGATAACAGAAAGATGTCTGCAGTGTGACTCCAACTGACAAGGAGTATTTCTTCCATTCCTGAATCGCTTTCAGCCATGTCAGCTGCTGCTGAGCTATCCCTAAAACCTAGGAAAACAGCCAGAGGCATTTCACTAACAATTATAGCTACATTATGGCATTATTGATCTGTCCTCAAGAACTTTAAAGAGAAACTTAACCATCAGGAGAAACATCTAGAGCAGTTCAAAACTGAAACAGTAAGTATTCAACTCTACTGCCAAAATCTTCTCCCAGCCCTTGAGGAATACCTGTGATGGGCACAGACAATCCATTTACCTTCAGTATTTGGTGAAAATAATACAATCCCTTCATTTAACTAATATTTAGAAGTAGTTGCATTTGTGCAAGGCAATATTGGTTTCTCAGCTGTAGATCTTGCACAGACTGACTCCTGCGTTCAACTTCCTAGATGGTAAATAGGTCCCATTGACTTTCATGAGCCTTCAAGTAAGTAAAGATAACTTAGAGGATCAAAGCCCTATAAACTGTGTCATTAAAGTTTAAGAAGTCAGAAGCTGCACACTCTCTTCCCAGGCTGTACCAGCATCTCCCATGAGTGCTAATGAGACCAGTTCCCATGTCACTGTTCTCTGGACATCAGAAGAAACAGACTTGATTTTCATCCTGATTGCACAGATGAAAATAAGAAATAACTCATGAAAATCAGTGTTCATACACACAGTAGTCAAACGATAGCTGACCAAGTTTGTGTTTTTGAACACTTTGAACAGAGAGCTGAACTTCAGACTGGTACCTAATACCTTCAGGTCTGTGAAGCTCATTAGAATCGATTCAGGTAATCACCAATAATTCTAGGAGGGCAAAAAAGGACCAAACCAAAACTAATAGATAGATTGCACTCAGGAAAGTCTGCCTAAAACCAGAGTCTTCCTTCTCAGAATGAATGACTCCCTGTCACCTTGTAGGAGGGTTTTCCTGAAAGTCAGGCAGAGTTTTGCTGACAAGGAGGTTCCAGGAAAAAAGAAGTGAGAAATAGATAGTGGGGAGGACCCGGTCCCTCAAGAAACTTTTCAAACCTGCACAGAGATGCAAGGAACAAGGCAAAAGTATCATCCCCCTCTTATTTTTATGCATTCATTTTAAAACTGTCTAATGTTGTTTTGAGGAGGTCGCTGAAGAGCCTCCAGAACAACAACTTGTTTCAGGTGCTTGCTATACCTAAAGTACAGAACCAAGGAAAATGTCTCCATTCTTGAATCTGGTGAATCCAGTACTGGATGACTTTTTTTTCCCCTGCTTTTCCCCACCTGCTCCTGACTCAGATTTTCACAGCCAAGAAACTTCATCTGCAAGAGAGCCCAGGAGCACCTTTTCCATCACTGCTAATGCTGGAGGCTGAGGGGCCAGGGAACGCTTCTGCCCTACAGCACCGCCATGGTTCACAGTACATGAAAAACGCCCCACACGGGACTTCTTGCTTCACTCCTTGGCTCTTCTCAAACTTTTGCAAGGTTTTCTTGCAGAGAACTGCAAGTCACTTCATCAGGGTTTAGCTGGCATGGCCCTGCAAACACAGAGCTTTCTTTGGAGCCTGAGCATGCAACTTTCAAAGACATTTTATCCAAATGCAGACAACAGAATTTGGAGAAAGATGAATGAAAAAGTCAGCAGTCATTGGAGCAAATTCCTGCCATCACGTAGGATGTTCACTATAAGCTAGAGCAACATCCGGCACAAGTTCCAGTTAGCACCAAAACCACAGGGGATGCCTTTCATTGGGGAAAACATCACTAAAAAGGTAGATGGTAAAACAAGCATATCCTGGGCAGGGGAGACCAATAAATCATTCATGAAAAGAATAGGAAGCATCAGAGCCAGGGCAAAGAGAATGCTAATTTGCTTTGCAACCTGATCAAATGGAACGACTGGCCTTGAGGGATGCAGCCATTTTGGGGGTTGATTGCCAGAGTTAATACAGAGCATTAACTTTGCAGCTTTGCTCCAGGCAGAACTTGTCCCAAGTGATCTAAAACTTTCAGTGCACTTATTCTATCAGAAGATTTGTGTGAGTGTGACTGCCTAATTAATGAGGATCTTTTCAATATTAACATGCAGAAAAGTTTACTGCCTTAAAGGTGTGTCAATATATACATTTTTCTGTTTAAGAAGTTTGCTTTGGCTAGTTTAAAATATAAAAGCTATTAATTAAAGCATAGACTGCTTTGGAAAAAAAAAAAAGAAAAAAAAAGAAAAAAGAAGGGATAAAATTGTTGAAGTCCTTGGGGATAATTGCTACAGAATTTATGCCAAACATCTCAATAAATTGATATGCTAAGATGAACAACCTGAAGTGTTTAGTACAGATTTTTCACAAGGCTTCACCTTCTCCCACCCACCCATCAAAGAATACTGTCAAGTTATTTCAGTCTAAGTGGAATCAAGAAAAACTAAACACACAAACACCTCCCAGACCTATTGAGCTTCTCCTTACCCTGCTAAGGACACACAGGGACCAGGTGGATGCACAGAACCCTTGTTGGGCAAGATCTCACCCCAACACCACCAGCTTTGCTGGTTGGGAATGCATCACAGCTCTTCTTGGAGCCAGCAGCCCCATGGCCAGTCAGATCCATCTTCTGTGTGGGGGCTGCCCAGGCACAGCCCTGCCACGCAGAAGCAAGGGCCAGGAAGGCATGGAAGATGGCAAATACAGACTTCACCCAGCTCTCATTCTTCATGGAAGAGTGCAGCCCCATCCTCAGAGGTGCTCCCTGCCTTATGTCTGGGAGAAGACAGTTGAGTGAAAGTAACACCATTGCCATCCTGTCTGCAGAGAGCAAATTGAGATGTGAACACAAGACAAAGCTTCAGAGCTATTTCCTTATGATCTTACTTACCTAAAGGATGTCAAAAACCAACTTCTACAAGTTATTTTGTCAGAAGCTACATAGGAAGCCTATAGAAAAGCCAGAGGCCAACTACTACATACAAGGCCAGTATTTTACTAGCATAGCTACCCTCTCTCCCTGGTAGATGACTATGTAAAGTGATTACCAAAAATTATCCCTCACTTCTTAAATTTCCCAGAGCACAACACACCCTTTCTCACCTGACAAAGTCTACTATGATCCTCCACCAGCAATTGCTTAATATGCTGATTACAGCCTCTTCTCCAGGGTCTTGCAAGGGAAGGAACTCTACAAAGGAC